GCGCCCCGGCAGGCCGTGCCCGCAGGCTTCAGCTGCAAGGAGAGGGCGGTTACGGCACGGGGTCTGTGGGAGGCGTGGGTGCCCGCAGGCTGAGGATGTCAAAGCCAGTCCCTCACAGCAGAGGGAGTCCCTGAGTAACAGTCCTGCTCTGGGGACAGGCGCCTTGCCCCTTTAAGGGGGTCAGGAGCAGCCTTGCTAGCATCAGGCAACATGAGGGGTGTCTGACAGGCAGACGGGCCGGGGCCGGGGAGCGTTGCCTGGTGGACTCGTTGATGCTTAGGAAAGAGATCTGCGGTCGCCCATCCTTTCAGATGGGGTCTCGCCCTGCAGTGCTAGCATTTGCTGGCAAGTTGACAAAAATAATTCCACGGGCACCATCGCCACGGCTGCGTCATGTCATCCAATCGCGGCTGGGAGCCTGTCTGCGCGGCTTTAGGGGGCGAGGTGCCGAGGGACAAGGCGGGAGGGGCGGGACAGAGGAGCCCTCGGCCACGCCTCCTGTCCCGTGGCTGAGACATTACGGCCCCTGTGGCTTGTCTGAGGCCGCAAGGCCAGGGACCTCCCCGCCTCACCCCCTTCCGAGCGCCTTCCTCCGCCAGCTGCCACGTGCGGGGGCCACTGCTCTCGGGGCCTGTTAGCTAACCCCGGGTAGGAAGGGGTGCAGGGCGCTGTAAGCAGAACGTAAATTTTAACGCACTTCTGAATCAGGAGGTTCCCGCAAGCAGGATGCCGAGATCAATTGCTTCATTAAAAAATGAAATTCTAGCCCAGCCGGCGTGGCTCAGTGGTTGAGCATCGACCTAGGAACCAGGAGGTCACGGTTCAATTCCTGGTCAAGGGCACATGCCCGGGTTGTGGGCTCGATCCCCTGTAGGGGGCGTGCAGGAGGCAGCCGATCCATGATGCTCTCTCATCATGGATGTTTCTATCTCTCTCTCCCTCTCCCTTCCTCTATGAAATCAATTAAAAACAAAGCAAAACAAAAGAAATGAAGTGTCACAGATGACTCAGCATAAAACGAGGCAAACCACCTGCGTATGTTGTGGAGCCGCCCGCACCTGGGGGCGGCCAGGACTCACCTGGCAGTGTTCACAGCAGAGCCCGTGTGCGCAGACGGCGCCCGGCGTCAGGGTGCAGGTGGAGGCGTTGCAGCAGCGGCTGGTACATTCCTGCAGAGGGAAGGGCCGTTGGACAGGTGGAGGCTGGGGGAGCGACCCCTGTGGACGGCCAGTGCGCCTTACGCGGCTGCAGGAGGGAAGGGAGAGCCCGGCAGCCCGACCGAGGGTTAGCGTTGCCTGTGAGAAGCGAAGCTCCAGGGAGTGTTTAGGGCTGAGTGGTTGGGGGGGGTGGTCCCTTCGTGAGGGGTAAGGAGCCTGGACAGGGAGGTGGCGGGAGGTCATCTGTCAGCTGCAGCCGGGGCTCCATGGGAAGAGGGGCCCCCGGTTCCTGCAGGGGGCCCCAAAGTGTATCGGGATCACGGAACACTTTCAACTGACTTATTAAAAAGCATGCATGGCCCTGGCCGCGGGGCTCAGTGGTTGAGCATCCACCTAAGAACCAGGAGGTCAGGGTTCGATTCCTGGTCAGGGCACAGGCCCGGGTTGCAAGCTCGATCCCCAGTGTGGGGCGTGCAGGAGGCAGCCGGTCCATGCTTGTCTCTTATCATGGATGTCTCTCTCTCTCTCCCTCTCCCTTCCTCTCTGAAATCAATAAAACATATAAAACATAGAAACATACATAGATGCATTCAAACATTACTCTTCCAAGACTGACCCGGTCAACCTGGTTCAGCCCGGAACACACCGGCAGGAAGTGAAGTCGGACCGATTGAAGCGCAGTTCCTCGCGAGGCAACCAGACGGGACGGTGACTACTGCTCGGCCTGGTCAGCAACCCTCGGGGCAGAAACGCACCCGAGAGTGACCGAGGGGCCCAAGAGGGTCATGGGCTGTGCCCGCTGATTGGAAAGGACTTTTTGCTTTTGTATTTTTAAAAAAATACATTTTTATTTCACAGAGGAAGGGGGGGAGGGAGAGAGAGAGAGAGAGAGAGAGAGAGAGAAACATCAATGATGAAAGAGAATCACTGATCGGCTGCCTCCTGCACGCCCTCTATTGGGGATCGGGCCCACAACCTGGGCCTGTGCCTGGACTGGGAATGGAACGGTGACCTCCTAGTTCATAGGTCGAGGCTCAACCACTGAGCCACGCCGGCCGGGCGATTGGCAAGGGGTTGAAGCAGAAAGATCAAATGTTAGGTGTGCTGCCCTCCCTGAAATACAAGGGAGAGAGGAAACGGCCTCCTGGGCTGTGCTGGGCTTCACCAGGACCCGGCTTCTTCTAACCACAAGACACAAGGGGTTGCCGCCTGTGCTCAGCCCTCACCCGAAGGGCTGGC